CCAGTAGATAGTTGTACATCATAGGTCCGCATCCTTCTAGTTGCTGTACGTGGGACTCGGCCCCGGGTTGGACGGAGAAGTGGTGCCTCGGGGCGCGCCTGGGATCCGAACCCGGGCCGCCAGCATCAGAGCGCGCGCACTTAACCGCTAAGCCACGGAGCCAGCCCTGAACCCTTTTAAATCATAAGTAAAAGGATAATTCCAAGAGCACTACCGTGAACTCAGATACCTCTCAAAGGTTAACCAAATTGTTTCCTTTAAGTAAGAAATTTGTCTCCTTGATTTTCTTTTCTCTTCTACCCCAAATCTAAATTCTCCTCTGTGCTCAGCAGCCTGGGCTGTAGAACAGGGCAATGCCCTCCTTACTACCCGTGAATGGAGGCAACTCAGGTCTCCTGTACTGAAGGGTTCATCGCGAGCTGCCTCAGGCACAGGAAACCAAGTTTACGGTGTTTCCAGTTGAACAGATCCCAAATCAGCCCAGGACATAACTTGAAGACTCAACAGCTCAGAGCCTCATTTCTTCAGAGGTTCATTTCTTCATAGGTTCTGCCTACCTCCTAGCATCAGTTCCCCAAATCTTCTAAATCAGAAGTTAAAACAAAAACAAAACCAAAACAAAACCCAATAGGTGCCTTCTACCTTCAAGTGGTTGTTTGCACATCAGAGCACCTCCAAATAAGCAGACTCTCATTGGTAGGATTTTAGTATTTCCAGGAAAGTTATATGCACTTCCCCTGTATTTTTTTCAAAAGTCTGGCTTTAAACTAAGATTCTCAGCCCCTTTGTTAAGAGCAATGGTACAAAAACAAAATTTTCTTCAAAGTTCACAAAATATGTTTATTTCAATTCCCTAAAACATAGTATAAAAATGAGTTAAAAAATAAAACAAAACTGGGCATTAATCTGAATTATAGCTCCCCTGAAAGAACAATACCACTTTTAGCAATTTATTTTTATAAAATCATCAAGTGTTCAAAGATGTAACGTGTATCCTACAAATTATTCATCAGCACAACACTGCTTCTTAATAAGAAATGAAGAGCATGTAGGTCCACCAACAGGAAACTGCATTAAAAACTATGATACAGTCATAAATCAGAACACCTAAGGAGGGGCAGATTTGTATGCATTAACGAAGAAAAATGTCTGTAATATACTGTTAAGTGAAAAACCAGAAACAGAATAGTATGTTTTCCAACAATCCACTTATGAAAATGACACACATTTAGATAGTATTTTAAGCGTCTGGAAGGACAATTACAACAGCAGTTATTTCTGGATGTGAAATTATGTTGGATTTTCCAAATATATTAATATTCATTAAAAATTAAAACATTTCTCTTTAGGGAAAAAGAGTATATCAAATAATATAATCAAATAATATAACCATGTTAAATGAAAATTAACAGTTTATCTCATTTCAGACAAAAAATCCTTTTAACTTTAACTGAATACTTGTTTTAAGTACGTGACAGTTGCAAAACGCAACCAAAGGTACTGGTAATCAGGAATAAACATTAAACGTAAAAATGTAAAAAGAATGATCTTCTTTCCCTACTACAATGAATGTAATCAGGCATCACAAAGTAAACACAAGTAGAGTAAATCAATGGAAAGATTATACGAATGACTTTTAAGTTTTCTTGTGGATAGACAAAGGAGGGAAAGGACGGACTGTGTGGCACAGAGAAATCGACCACAGAAACTGACTTGGGTCTATATACATTGTAGATGCAGGGCAATCCTCTATCTGAGAGGGATGATAAGCTGCTGCTCTGTTATCCTTCCCTCTCATTCAATTATTTAATAAATAAGAGCATAGTTTTTTTTTTTTCCCTAAGAACTCTAGGAAGTTGTCGAGTCTAGTGGGAAAACAGACAAGTCAGCTATTCATTACAGTATAATTGAAGTACACATGTGCAGGACACTACTGGCACACAGAGAAGACATGTTTGAATCAGACTTAGGAAGACAAGGAAGGCTTTACATAAGTGTCATCTAGAGAAGTCAAAGTGCAGCCTTGGGAAAGATGCTTCTGACAGAAGAATGTGAAAAGGCAAAAGGTTATGGGATCTGGTCTCTGGATCACAAGGGTAACATCTATAGCGGTCTTAGAAGACAACAGGTACAGATATGAGACTAAATTTTTTTTATCTTTTAAAATTTTCATATAATTATAAGAAGTTGCAAAAATAGTACAGATAGGTTCCCACGTATCCTGCACCCAGGTTCCCCCAATGGTTACATTTTATATAACTGCAGTGCAATACCAAAACTAGGGAACTAGCACTGGTCAGACGTGTATATAGTTCTCAGCCATTTTATCGCATGTGTATATTCACGTCATCACCAATGCAATCAAGATACAGAAGTGTAGAAACCTTACCCACTCCAGTTCATAATATAATTTTCTTAAATATTTCTTTTAGATACTGACAACCATATCAGACATGTTATAATTTTTTGCTTCAACCACCAAACAATTTAGAAAACTCAAAAGGAGAAGAAAAGTCTATTGCATTTACTTCTATTTTTACTCTTTCCATTTTTCTTTCATCTATTCTGATATTTCAAGATTCTTTATCATTTTCTTTCTGTTTCAGGAACTTCCTTTATAATATTTATTTATTTATTTATTTATTTATTTATTTATTTATTTATCCCCCAAAGCCCCAGTAGATAGTTGTATGTCATAGTTGCACATCCTTCTAGTTGCTGTATGTGGGACACGGCCTCAGGCCGGAGAAGCGGTGCGTCGGTGCGCGCCGGATCCGAACCCAGGCCGCCAGTAGTGGAGCGCGTGCGCTTAACCACTAAGCCATGGGGCCGGCCCCAGGAACTTCCTTTAGCCATTCTTTTAGAGTAGGTCTGCCAGAGACAAATTCTCTTAGTTTAACTTCGCCTGAGAATATTTTGATCCCTCCACCTTTCATTCCAGAAGGATATTTTCAACAGATATAAGATTCTAGGTTGATAGTTCTTTTCTTTCAGCTCTTGAAAAATGTACCCCTTCCTTCTGGCCTCTGCGGTTACTGATGAGAAATCCACTGTCACTGGAATTTTTTCCTTATAGGTAAGATGTTTCTCGCTGATTTCAAGATTTTCTGTCTTTCTGCGGTATCTTGTTTGAGGCCTGCTCAGCTTTTTTGAATCTGTAGGTTTAGGGTTTTTATCAAATTTGGGAAAATTTCAGCCATGATTTCAGCTCCACATTCTTTCTCCTCTCCTACTGTGACTCAGATCTTTTGCTATACTCATTCAAGTTCCTGAGGTTCTGTTCATTTTTTTTTTTTTTGGTCATTTTCTCTTTGTTGTTCAAATTAGGTAGTTTTTGCTATTGTTCTAGCTTCTGTTGTTCACTGATTTTTTCCTCTGTCCTCTCCATTCTACCTTTGAGTCCATCAGTGAGTTTTCAATTTTTTTATATTTTTCAGTTCTAAAATTTCTATTTAGTTCTTCTTTATATCTTCTATTTCTTCGAGGAGTCTTTGTATTTTTCCATTTGTGTTGATAATTGCTCACTGAAGCATTTTTGTGATGGCTGCTTTAAAATGCTTGTCAGATAATCCCAACATTTGCGTCAGCTTAGCTGATGTTTCTTGGTTATCTTTTCTCATTCCCGTTGAGGTGGTCCTGGTTCCTGATATGACAAGTGATTTTCTATTGTATCTTGGACATTTAGAGTTCTCTGTTGTAAGACACTAGATCTTATCTCCGTTTTCTATTTTTGAGGCCTCCTCTGACACTGCACCATTGGGACAAGGAGAATCCTCGATGCTGTCAGAATCCTTGATCCTAAGTTCTCCACCCAACCTCTGTTGATTTGGAGAGGTGAGGAGGGAGGGGCTCATTACTGTTGGGAAGTGGTGGAAGTTTGGGTTCCTCAGTGGGCCTCTGATAAGAGGGGGAAGGGTGCCCATTATTGCAGTTTTTTCTGAGGTGTTTGGCTGCAATAGGGTGGTTATTGTCTAAGCGTTTTTTATCTTGCTTGTTTGCTCCTTTCCTGGTCCTCTGCATAGAAATAGGCTTTTTTTTCTTGGTCTGTGCTCATGAGTGTTTCCAGGTTACTAGTTTCTCCAGACCACAATCCGGGATATATGATGAAAACATAAAACCTAGGGAACTCACTGCTCTGTACTTCCTTGGGTCCCAAGGTCACTGGCCAATCCGCCTTCTTCTCTCCATCTTTTAGAGTCTTCTTATTTTTATTTTGTATATAACGTCCATGGTTTTTTGCTCTATTTGTCAGGAGGAATAGGAAGAGGCATGCCTTTCTGTTGTACCTCTGAACCACACCTGATCTTTAATGACTACATCATATTCCATTAAACTGATGTATTGTAACTTACTGAAGCTTTTCTAGAACATATAGCTGGTTTCATTTTTTTTGGCATTATAAATAATGTAAACTGACTATCTTGGTGTACACTGTTTATTATTTTCTTAGGATGAATTTCAAGGAGAAATTGGTGAGTCAAAGGAACTGCCTAGTGTAAGGTACCTGAAACACTGCCAAACTACCCTCCCAAATGTGTATTTTCCAAATACTCCACCAAAATAAGTGGGTGGAGTACAAAACATTTCCCTTTACCTTGCAGTGGAAATTGGCCAGGCTTGCTCCCTGGTATAGTTAGGGACTACCAGCACTTTATCTCCTATATACCAGAAACACGGAATGCACATAGGGGAACTAAACTCCAACTACCTAACTGTGTGGCCCTTTCTGAGTTGGCTAACAATGTCTCCTCCATATGGAAGGACTGTTCCACTTATATATGCCCACCAAAATCTTAACCATCCTTTTCATAAATAGAAGACTAAATAAGGCTTTCTTGAAAGAGAAATATAACAATCTAAAGATGTTCATTCTCCTCCAAATTAGACAAAGTTTTCAAGAAGATGGTAGCAAAACCCAAAGAAAAAGAAAAAAGAACTGAGTGGTAAGTTCAAATGCAACACACACAAGACAATCATTTTATCTGTGAATAAGAGCAGTTTTATTTCTCTCTCTCCAACCCTTATATCTTATTTGCTAGGCTAGAATGGTCAGGATTACATTGCATAGAAGAAACATGGTTTTTTTTTGTTTTGTTTTTTAGTGAGGAAGATTGGCCCTAAACTACCATCTGTGCCAATCTTCCTCTATTTTATTTTTCTTGTCTGTGGGACGCTGCCACAGCATGGCTTAGAGCAGTGTGTAAGTCCACACCGGGGATCTGAACGCGCGAACCCTGGGCCACCGAAGTGGAGCACACGAACTTAACCAATATGCCACTGGGTTGGCCCTCAGAATCATCTTTATCTGCCTCCTAATATTAGAGAGAGCTTTCAAAATTTCACCATTAAGTATGAGGCTTGCTATAGGTTTTGTTTAACATGTATATGTAACTGTCATCAGATTAAGGAAGTTACTGCTATAACTGGTTTCCTAAGTTTTTTTTTTTTAAATAATGAATGAGTGTTAAATTTAACAAACACTTTTTTCTGTATCTTTTCCAAATATATTTACAGTTTCAACACCAATTGCTACAGACTGAATGTTTGTAACCCCTCAAAATTCATATGTTGAAACCTAATCCCCAATATGTTGGTATTTGGAGGTGGGGTCTTTGGGAGGTGATTAGGTCATGAGGGCAGAGCCCTTATGAATGGCATTAGTGCCCTTATGAATGGCATTAATGCCCTTATAAAAATGAGACCCCAGAGAGCTCCCTTGCCCCTTTCGCCCTGTGAGGACACAGTGAGAAGATGGCCATCTATGAACCAGGAAGTGGGCTCTCACCAGGCACTGAATCTGCCGGCACCTTGATCTTGGACTTACTAGCCCCTAGAGTTGCGAGATAAATGTTTCTTGTTTATAAGCCACCCAATCTATGGTATCTGTTATAACAGCCCGAATGGACTAAGATACTGATCTTAATGAAAATCCCAGTATGTGAGAGTATAAATTAGTATAACAATTGGGAAAACCATCTGGCCTTATATACTAAATTTGTACGCATGCATACCCTATGAAATCCCAATTCCATTGTTTGGTGCAGTGCTTGCACACATGTATCATGTGTAAGAATGCTCACAGCAACATTATTTGTAATGGTGTCTGTACAGAAAAGAGTTAACGTAGCAGGTCTAAAACTGTTAACCTTAGAAAAGCTGGCTTGCAAGGCTGGACCATTGGCTGGCGTTTAGGAACTCGGCTGATGAACAGTTTCCTATGCTGATATAAAACTTTCCCTAACCAAAAAGGTGGAAACACACCTCAACTGTTCATCAACGGATGGATAGATAAGCAAAATATTCGTCATAAAAAGGTAGAAAATTCTGACACATGCTACAACATGGATGAACCCTGAGTATATTATGCTAAGTGAAATATGCCAGCCACAAAAAGACAAATACTGTATGACTCCACTTACATGACGTAACTAGAGTAGTCAAGTAGAATGATGGTTGACAGAAGCTGAGGGCAGAAGGGAATGGGGAATTATTCTTTAATGGTACAGAGTTTCAGTTTTGCAAGACGAACAGAGTTCTGGAGGTGGATAGTGGTGATAGTTGCACAACGGATATACTTAATACCATTGAATCAAACACTTAACAGTAAATTTTATGTTATGTGTATTTTAACACCTGCTAATGATGTCATAATAAAAACGATTGGAAGAAAAAGAAAAGTTAACCCAAGCATGGCCTTTTAAGAGATGATGGGCTACATCTACATATATTTTTTTCATAGCTAGGAAAAGATTTTTTTTTTTTGGCAAATAAAGTTTGTCATTTTTTTCTTTTACTCTTGAAACTATCTTTAAGCTTAGACTCAAAGTAATTTGGTGATGGAATTTGCACAACATTCTGCATTCTGATGTCTGCTTTGCTTCTAATTATGTTCCAACTCATTTTGACATTTAAAGACAATTTTATTAGTCTAGATCCAGTAAGACTTTTCCATAGTAGTGTAAAATTTGACCAATAAATACTTTTTTCCAAAACAAAAACAAAACATCTTTCCCTAACTGATAAGGGTGGCTCACTGTGTCTAGACTGTTTTTGCAAACAAGATGGTTTATGCTGAACATTAGTTTTCCTTCTGGGAGTCTGCAATTTTGGTAGGTGCTAGGCAAAGAGTGCCCATGTGCCCAGACCCCAGTAAAATCCTTGGGCATTCACTGGGTCTCTAATAGGCTTCCGTGCTGCATTTTCATTGCTGGGGGAAGAGTGAGCTCTGTGTGATCTAGTCATGTATCCTTATTATGCCTCTGTAATAAATCTTAGTTGTGAGCACAACTATACGCCAAGTCCTATGAATTCTTCTAGCAAATCTCAGAATGTGGGGGTGGTGTTGGGCCCCCAACTCTGCCTCAAAATGCAAACAACTCAAATGTCCATCAGAAGCAAAAAGTATAAATTGTGGTACATTCCTACAATTAAACACCATATAGCAATGAAAATGAATAACCTACAGCTACACAAAACAAGGACTGAATCTCAAATGATGCAAAAGTCATTTATTGTACATTGCCTTACACAAAAGTTGTTTCGTCCACACTAGACTGAAAAATCTATTAAATTTATGTGGGTTACACCTATCAATAATCACCATATCAGAAATTAAAACTTAGAATTTGAAAAATATTTATTATTAATCCCTTTCCAAGTAACTATATTTTCCCAAAAAACGTAGTAAGAAGAATGGCACTGGTGTTACAGTTTTGCAAATCTCTTTGATATCTAGCTTAATAAAAGACAAGTGGGGGGCCGGCCCAGTGGCGCAAGAGGTTAAGTGCGCACGCTCCGCTGCGGCGGCCCGGGGTTCGCTGGTTCGGATCCCGGGCGCGCACCAACGCACTGCTTGGCAAGCCATGCTGTGGCGGCGTCCCATATAAAGTGGAGGAAGATGGGCACAGATGTTAGCCCAGGGCCGTCTTCCTCAGCAAAAAAAAGAGGAGGATTGGCGGATGTTAGCACAGGGCTGATCTCCTCACAAAAAAAAAAAAAAAAAAAGACAAGTGGGTTCTCCTATCAGCTTCTGCATTTAATCTGTTGCACCATCCTATATCACTCGGCCTCTAGAAAATTACACTGTACACTCATGAGAAAATAAGAGTGAAAAGGTAAGTAACATCTTAGTATTATTATAAAAATACTTTTGACCTCCTAGACTTCCTGAAAGGGTCTGGAGGAATCCCAGGGGTCCCTGATTACACTTTGAGGACAGCAACGTTAAGGTTTAGTACTGTGATTCATCTTTCTCTCGTACAGAGGCTAACACACAGGAGCATGGGGTGCTTTTACAGGAGGTAAATCTTGAAGAATTTGATTGACAAACATTGGGAACTGGCAGTACTTCCCTTATATACACTGCGAGTCAAACCCCACCTAGCTGTCAATGTCAGAAAATCACTCCCTTATACCACAGGTGTCACCACACTCAGTATAGAAAGAAAAATTATGTGTACCTTCAAAATTCTAAAGAAACTGTATTTGCATGAGGAGCTGAAGAATGTAATCCCTTTGATACTATTTACTTAGACCATGAAACTTATAATTTTACAAATTATTATTTTGAAAATTAAACTTGCTGCCTTTCTTTCCTCTCTGGTTTGGAAACAATGCATGACACACTGAATATATTAAGTAACAAAACCTTGCATTAACGTGGTTGAGCCTCAGTGGCCTGCTGAAACTCAATTTTAAGACAAATTCAAAGCTGCTTATTGGAATTAAATCAACACTATAAGAAACAATAAGGTAAACATTATAGTTTCGTTTCTTTGATAAACATTGTTATCCACAATTGAAATCCACAATTCAACAGTTTTATACAAGTTACATAACTAATCTAGTGTGCAGATTTTGCCACACTGCTATAGGTTTGGGAATGAGCAGAAAGATGTACAACTTCTCTGCTGCTGGCTTCGGTTCTAAGACACATACTCAGGCAGTTGTCAACAGCGATGCTGTACTTACCACCAGTGCTAGAACAAGAGTCCGCACCTTCTCCCCAATCTCAGGTGAGATGTCATTGCCAAACTGTTGCAGAGTGGTGAGGAAGCGTTTCAACTTGCTGAGCTGCCGAGCACCACAAGTGGCTGGCAATTGTTGATTTGTTAGTGCAGATGATGTGGAAGAGGCAGGACCATTGCTGAATCTCTGTGGTGGTGAGGGGGCACCGTTCAGGGTAGGGGGAGAATGGTTGATGCCATTGCTTACTAAAAGAAAGCCAAAACGAAAGACTCAGTTTAAGTGCAAAACACAAGGATCTTTGTTAATTTCTTCTGGTTTGCATTCTCCTTCATTTTTTTTATTTTTTGTGAGGAAGATCAGCCCTGAGCTAATCCTCCTCCTTTTTTTGCTGAGGACAACCAGCTCTGAGCTAACATCTATTGCCAATCCTCCTCCTTTTTTTGTCCCCAAAGCCCCAGTAGATAGTTGTATGTCATAGTTGCACATCCTTCTAGTTGCTGTATGTGGGACGCAGCCTCAGCATGGCCGGAGAAGCAGTGCGTCGGTGTGCGCCTGGGATCCGAACCTGGGCCACCAGTAGCGGAGCACATGCACTTAACCACTAAGCCACGGGGCCGGCCCTCTCCTTCATTTATTCATTTGAATTTTGTAAAGCACATGTTAAAAGACTACACAAGGGACCGGCCCCATGGTGTAGTGATTGAGTTTGGGGCACTCCACTTTGGTGTCCCGGGTTTGCAGGTTCGGATCCCAGGCGTGGACCTACACCACTCGTCAGCCACGCCGTGGCGGCAACCCACATACAAAATAGAGGAAAACTGGCAAAGATGTTGGCTGAGGGCTAATGTTCCTCAAGCAAAAAAAAAGAGGAAGATCGGCAACAGATATTAGCTCAGCGAGAATCTTCCTCAGCAAAAATAAATAAATAAAAAGAGTACACAAGACGCTGTTTCTGTCCTCAATGAGATTGCTATATAGTTAGACTGTCAGAACAAAAAATGACAACAGAATAACATAGAAGCATTAAAAAGGAAGGGTACAGAGTACTATAAGAGCACAGAGAAGGGAAATCTAACTCTGCTGTGCCATGGGCAGGGGTAGGTAGTTTTAAGACTTCCTGCAACAGGTAATGCATGAAATGAGCCTGGGAGAATAAGTATTTCCAACGACTGGACATTCATGCCCATCTTTTATGTCACATCTCCTTCCCAAGCTTAGGGTCCCAAAGAAGTTAAGCAGTCAATTAGAATGTAGCATGTGGATAAGACAACCAGAAACCAGAAAGTTATGTTAATGGGAGAAATGTTTTTTCTAGGCTATAGGTTTAATGACCTATTCCTGAAATAAGATACGTATCTCTTTGACCATTCAGAATATTCATATCCATCAGAGTCAGTTTCTCTCTGCCCTGACAGTGCTAGATTAATACTGCCAAATTCTTCGTCATTCAATAAAGCATTTTTTAGACACCATACAGGATACTCCCATTCTAGATTTCTGATCAAATTATAATACATGTGATTAATTACAGTTTTTCTATTTTCCCATTGTTCTTAGTGATTTCTTGCTTGTTTTAATTTGGAACACAACCCTAGAGCTAAGTTCTTGGCAGCATTAAGAAAAAATCTCCTTCTTTACTGAACAGTGAAATAAAATTACCTAGCGCCTAAGTGTCAATAGATTTTCACTTAATCATACCCCGGCTTGAAAATCCAAGAAGGTAAAACTGTTGTCTAAAAACATAAGAAACAATTTAAGTCAAGACTTAAGCCAAATTTAAAGAGCCCAATCATCTAATCTTTACCTAACTTAGAAAATTATATTTACTTATATTTTGCTTAATGCCAACTCATTAATCACGAAAAATCTTCCACTTCCCTTCTTCTTCCTCCAAGTCAGTCATAGTTGGTCCACCATCACTACTCTTACTTCTTGACTGACCCTTATTCAAATTTGATCTGGCAAACTCTTCTTCATCCTATATAGCTCAGAAATCACCTGAAGCATATATCACCTGAAGCATATTAAGAAGCATTCTTTGACAGACTTGGCTGCTCCACGTTAAGGTAAACCTAGTAGATTTAATGACTCTTCTCTGGGCTGCCTATAGATGCTTCCACTATGTTACTTTACATATATCATAAAGTATGTTACATTTGTTCCATATGTATGTAACATTATGTTCCACTATGTTACTTAGCAAATTATATTTACTTCTTTCTGTACTTGCACTGCCTTAATAGGTTGTGCACTTCTTGATGAACACTAACTTACAAATCTGTGTATACCATAATTAACTAAGTTTTGTAAACTGTGTATACTGTATATACGTTGGCTTTGTTCATTAGCCAGCAAAGTATAAGTGTTCCGGAAAATGCCGCCAAATGATTCACTGCATAAAAGACTAACAGGCTGAGTAAAAGAGGGTGAATTCTCTTCTGTGTCTTCCACTAAAAAAGATCACTGGAGCTACTAGAAAGGAAAGCTCAACACACAGCATCAGCAATCCAGAAAATGAGTGGCAATGGTCTGCCATTTCTTTGTGTTCACAGAAGGGTCAACTGCCATTGGAGGGCTGGCCTCTTTGAAGCAAGCCATGAAAATAATACATTCCTGCGCTTTCAGCCACCCTGACACTCAGACAGGCTTTTTCACAGTCTCTTCAGCGAAAGCGTATCATCACCTTTTCCAAAATAAAACTTATCTACCCCCAACTAGTCAAATATGGAGGTAAAAAGGGCTGAATTTATATATACATATCCCTATTGTCTGTATCTTGAAATCTGAATGATAGTCTGGGTTTAAATGTTTCATTTCAAGATAGTACCTATATCTAAGGATGTATAACTTTGGGAGACGGAAAATAGAATTTAAGAAAAAGGATATCAAACTTCATTTCATTCACTTTGTCTCAGACTGCTGCAGTTGCCACTCACTCAATTTCAAATGTTTTGGGAAAATAATTAAACCTTCTACTAAAGCTGTACCTCTTAGACTCTCTTCTCTTGCCTTTTTTTTTTTTAAGATTTTATTTATTTATTTTTTCCCCCCAAAGCCCCAGTAGATAGTTGTGTGTCATAGCTGCACATCCTTCTAGTTGCTGTATGTGGGACGCGGCCTCAGCATGGCCGGAGAAGCAGCGCGTCGGTGCGAGCCCGGGATCCGAACCCGGGTCGCCAGCAGTGGAGCACGCTCACTTAACCACCAAGCCATGGGGCCGGCCCTCTCTTGCCTTTTAAAATAATAAGCACATGGGGCCAGCCCGATGGCACAAGCAGTTAAGTGCGTGCACTCTGCTGTGGTGGCCTGGGGTTTGCCGGTTCGGATCCCGGGCATGTACCGACGCACTGCTTGTCAGGCCATGCTGTGGCGGCGTCCTACATAAAGTGGAGGAAGATGGGCATGGATGTTAGCCTAGGGCCAGTCTTCCTCAGCAAAAAAAGAAGAGGATTGGCATCAGATGTTAGCTCAGGGCTGATCTTCTTCACACAAAAATAAATAAATAAATAAAATAATAAGCACAGAAAATATAAATGTTAGCAAAGATAGTGTGTAAGCTTGTATAATGGTGTTTAAATGAGGAAATGCATACAGCACCTAGCACAGTACTCTGACACACTGTGGGTACTCCAAAAGTAGCAAGTGTCTTCTGTTTTATGAGGCAAGAAATCTATAAAAGAGTCAATGTGAACGAAGGTAGTATGGGCATGGAGAGGCAGAAGAACTCAAATTAAAATCTAGACATATATATGTATGTATGAATATAAATCTAGGTTTTAAATTGAGGGTTTTTTTGGTATATATGTAGAACTAAAATTGCTGAGTTACAGGGTAACAGATACTGTCAAACAATTTTCTCATACTCAGTGTATGAGCGTTCAGGTTGCTCCACACATGCTCACCAAAAGTTGATATTCTTTTTCATTTTGAACATTCTTATGGATGTATATGGTATTATATTGGGTTTAGTTTGCATTTCCTTGATGACTAGTAAAGTTGACCACCTTATTATATATTTATTGGTTCATATAATTTTTATGGACCTAATTGTGTTCCTCACAAATTCCTATGTTGAAGTTCTAACCAACGCCCCCACCCTGCAGACACTGTCCACAGCACTCAGTACCTCAGAATGTGACTATTTGGAGACAAGGCCTTTAAAAGTTAAATGAGGTCATATGGGTGGCCCCTAATCCAATAGGACTGCTGTCCTTATAAGACGAGGAAGGGACAACAGGGACGAGTATGCACAGAGGCAAAGACATGGGAGGATACAGCAAGAAGACAGCCATCTGCAAGCCAAGGAGAGAGGCCTCAAAAGAAACCAAACCTGCTGACACCTTGATCTTGGACTTCCATCCTCCAGAATGGTGAAGAAATGAATTTCTGTTGTTTAAGCTACCTAGTTTGTGGTATTTTGTTATGGCAGCCCTAGCAAACTAATACAATAATCATTGTCTTTTGTAAAGAGACTTACCATTTCAGTCCTGGAACACTTTTAGAAGAAGTTGGTAATTTTATGAAACTACTTTGATCCCTATAAATTAATATAATAATTTAAATTCATTATTTTAGACACAAAGAAATTAAAAGTTACCAGCCAAAGAGTACAAAAACAAAATATTTAGACCACTAAATTTCCAAAAGCCTAAATTAGCTCAGTACTATTCTCAGAGGGCAAAAGCAATGTATAAAAGTAAGAAATAACCAGATATACATACATACATATATGTGTGTGTGTATATATATATGTTTAAAATGTTGACTAATATATACAGAAGGCTTAATGGCAATCACTAGATCCAAATATCACTCTGAACCACAGATTCAAGTAATTAAGAGGTCTCACATGCTGTAGGAGTAAATGACACTGGCCTGGGTCCTCCGGGATTTATTGGTGGGAGGGGTGGCATGGTGGGAGGTGAGGATCTTGACTGTATCTTCACTTCCACAGGCGATCCAGGCATTGCTGGTACTCTTTTCTCAGGACCAACTGTTGAGAATCAAAGGAATGAAGGTCAGAGTTTTCCACAAGATAATAAAAATGTGACAATAATTTGAAATACCAATATATTTTCCTAGAGAATTGAGAAGTTAAGAAGATGCTTAGTTTAATAGGCTGAATGGTGGCACCCAAAAAGTTATTAATCCCTTGCACTGTGAATGTTTCCTTATTTGGAAAAAGGGTCTTTGAAGATGTAGTTAGGGATCTTGAGAGGAGATCATCCTAGATTATCTGGGTGGGCTCTAAAGACAATATGAATGATATCCTCATAAGACAAGCTGAAGAGACACGTACAGAGGGAAGACTACTTGAAGACAGGCAGAGTCACACAGAGAGAACACAATGTGACGATGGAGGCAGAGAATTGGAGTGCTGCATCTACAGGCCAAGGAATGGCAAGGATTGTCAGCGACCACCAGAAGCTAGGAGGTATGGAATAGATTCTTCCTCTGAGGCCCCAAGAAGGAATCAACCCTGTTGACACCTTGATTTTAGTCTTCTGCCCTCCTGAATTATGAGAAAATATTGTTGTCTCAAGCCATCTAGTTTGTGAAATTTTGTTACAGCAATCCCAGGAAACTAAAACAAGGAACAAAGTCAAGGGGTGACATGACCTGAAAGTTAACAGTGAGAACAGTGGCTGAGAAAGGAAGAAACCAGGTTATAAATTCAGCTTATCTCAACTGCATTCTTTCTTGACTTCTCTTTATAAATGTATCAAATTAATAGGGGAAAAAACCTAATGAGGGACCACCTAGACCAGTAGGTGTCAACTGCATGGCATGGAAATAGAATCATAAGCAGTTGTGTATAAATTACTACGAATGATGAAGTACTAAATTTTTATACGTATCAACTAAGTAGGAAAAAAACAAAGGTAAATTCAACATCTTTGACATTGGGCACGTAAATGCTATTTATGATGTCTGGTGTCCAAAATGATGAAAAGTAGGGCTGATTCTACACTAAGCACACGCTACTTTACCCAGGGGGACAACTCATAAGTAGCTATTCGATAACACTAGACAGTAATGAATTCCAGAAAGAGAAATTTGACAGATTAAACTTAATGATGTTAGAATTGTGAGGCAATATGAATACGACTTGATACTGAGGAATAAGACTTGATAAAATTCTAATATCTTCAAAAAAGTTATTTTTCCCCATTAAAGGGAACTTGTTATATACTTAGTTACTAATAAGGCCAGGGCTACCGTAACCACCTTTAAATTGAGCTAGCTATGTTCCTCTCAGTTAAGTCCAAGCTTTTCACTTAAGTACCATGTATTTATCCTCCAATAACTGCTGAATTCAATTTAAAGTACAAGAAATGGACACCAAACGCTTAAATGAGAATGTTAAATCAAAGATTTCTGTGAGATCATAGCTATAAACACAATACATACAAGAGCATTCATGATGCTGGCAACAAGGCACATCTTCGCACATTCATGGGTACCTTCTAATGAGGAAAACATCCCCAAATATTATTTTTATGCTTCAGTTTGCAATGGCCACATTTGGAGAAGAGATATAATGAACAGAGAAAGTCAATCAAGGAAGCAATGCCCCCAAGTTACAAATCCCCTGACAAAAATGTGCAGCTCTCTGAGAGCCATGTGGGCAACACTCTGTCAGCCCATCCCATCTCTCTGTCCAGGACATTTTCTTTGTGAAATTGATGATAGTCCTGTCTGCTTAGTGGACTAATGAGCTGTTGCGTTTGCCTTTTTCTTCTTGATAGTAGTTTCTCAACGTCCTTCAGAGAACAGTTGACATGTTTCCAGCTCTTCCATCTGGGGCCCAGCTTTCTGGAGGGTGGGGGGAGAAGGGAAGGAAGGAAACTGACAGTTGTCTCGCACTGTTGTGTGTTATGTACAGTGTGCAACAACCTAGAGGGAGCCTTTCTTCAGACCACCTGTCTTTATGGTAAGGGCGCCAAAGGCCTGAGGAGGGCTTAGCAATGAGATGTGTTTTAACATTCAGCACTTGGCAGAATGAAATACTCAGAGCAGGCCAACTGTAGAACACTGAATTATATACTAACTGAAAGCTTAGATACTGGGTAAAACCTAGCTTTCAGAGTACTGTTTACAGATTAAAACTACCCATCGCTGGGGCTGGCCCCGTGGCATAGCGGTTAAGTGCACGCGCTCTGCTGCTGGTGGCCCCGGGTTCGGAGCCAGGGTGCGCACCCACGCACTGCTTGTCTGGCCATGCTGTGGCGGTGTCTCATATAAAGTGGAGGAAGATCCACACGGATGTTAGCTCAGGGCCAGTCTTCCTCAGCAAAAAAAGAGAAGGATTGGCAGATGTTAGCTCAGCGTTGATCTTCCTCACACACACACACACACACACACACACAACTACCCATCGCTTGTGCATGCCACTACTCACAAATCTGCAACACTAGTGTTATTCCCCATGTTTCAATAACATTGTCTAGTAGAAAAAGCATGGGTATGGAGACTGAGGGATTTGGTGAATTCTTATTCTGTTGCTCACAACCTACATGAATTTTATCAAATCATTTCACCTTTCTGGGCCTCACTTTCTTTTTTTTTTTTTTTTAATTTTGGGCCTCACTTTCAACATATGTAAAATGAGAGATAATAAGACCTACCTGGCAGGAAAGATGTTAGAGCAATGCCTAGATTAGTGCTAGGTTAAAGAAGGTTGTACTCAGTAAACAGTACTGATGATTAGAAACTAGGAAGCCTAGCGTCAAGTTCTGGATTTATCACTTAACTAGCCATGTGACCATGTCCAAGTTATATTTGTTTCCCATGGAAAATGAGTATACCATCAACAATTAATCTATCTAATCTCAGAGATATTGCATGGAACGATCCAAGAATTAACAGTCACAAAAGCACCAAGTACAACGTAAGGTGGTATTTTTGTTGGAGGCTGGGTGGCATGAATGCACTTCATGGTATGAGAGATCTATCCAAGTGGTTTATAATCTGACAAATTCAGCAGTTGCTCAGATGGCAGATAAGGGGTACACTCCAAAGTAGGCATTTTAACCCTCTGCTTGGTGGCTACGACATGCCTTTATGTCATCACTGATAGAGTGACTTCATTTCTCAATTTTTATGAAACTGATGTTCATGTTTTATATTCTAGCTGGATTCCTTGAAAGAACCAACCATATCTTAAGCTCCTTTCAATTCCAGAGAACCTTAGATAAAGTTCAAGGAGAAGAAGTTCCTTTCTCTCAAGTGTGACTTGAGTCCATATACACGATTGCTCAGACTATCAAAGAGACATAAAGTCTTCATTCCTAGAAAGTCAAAACAACGCTTAGTTTTGTCATAAAGGTTCAACTCGACTCTAAACATGGATTCTAAGATTCAAAGGAACTATTTATTCACTCTATGAGTTTATGCTTTGGTTATTATGAGTATTTGGATATATACAGATTAAAAAAAAAAACTCGAACATATGACCACATGCATTTCCAAAATCACTGATGCTTCAACACCTCACCACATAAAGCCAAACCACTTGAGCTAAAGAAGAGGAGCAAACACGGAAAAGTACACCTAAATAATGATTTTACTTCTTCATTGTGCAATATGCTAAGGATGTCATGAAGATAGAAAACTGATGAAGGAGAGAACAAAGTAACAACAGTTCTCTGTGTGATAGCAGTGCTATTTTTTCTCCACACAGGCACTGGAAGAATCGAACATGAAACTAAAGAGCAGAACTATTCTGTAGCTCTAAGAGAAAGGAACAGCACTTAAACACAAACATCCCAGGCAAGAGCTACTTGAAAAGAAGCCTATGATAAATTGCCCACAAACGAGGGCATTTACAAATCACTAGAAACTGCTTTCTCTTTAAAGTTTTTAAAAATTACTTTGAGGCTGACAAAGGAACAATAAACAGAAGAGGTATAAATATGAGATTAAAAAAATGCAATTATGTGAGGGGAAAAGCTACTCAGAAACAACTGGAGAGAAGGGAAACTCCCTGGGCTGCAAGGAGGAAGCGTGTTTAGGTGAAAGAAGGTGAGCCTGATGTGAAGGATGCTCTATCACTTACTAGTTGTGTGACAATGGCTTTCCTCATCCACGCCTGGGGATAACACTTATAACACAAGGTTACTGTGGAGGGTACCATAATATATATAATAATGACTGGTACACAGTAGACACTCTTACATGTTTACTTGAATCAGATTAAAAATCAATTAGAATTAATCATTTTATTTGGCCATTCAGATGTTTATCTATGCTGAACTTTGGGTAGAAGAAGATATAGTCAAGTGCTCCAATTGTCATCATTGAGAAAAATGAGCTGAAAATAGATCTTTCAGATGTATAGTACAGGAATACTGATCATTCCAAACAGGTTGACCAACTGAAGCCATTACATCTGCTTCTTTAAAACAAATCAGGGGCTGGCCCTGTGGCTTAGCGGTTAAGTGTGCGCGCTCCGCTGCTGGCGGCCCGGGTTCAGATCCTGGGCGCGCACCGACGCGTTGCTTCTACCGCCATGCTGAAGCCGCGTCCCACGTACAGCAACTGGAAGGATGTGCAGCTATGGCATACAACTATCTACTGGGGCTTTGGGGGAAAAAACAAATAAATAAAATTATTAAAAAAAAACAAATCAGACTCCTAAGAAATAATTCGAAAGGTTTAAACAGAATTATCTTTGGGAGCCAAAACAAAGGTAGATGATTTTCTTTTTTATATGTATAAGCATACGTTTCTATGGTTCAAAAATCAATATGATATAAAAAGAAACACTCCTTGCTCCTGTCCCTACATAACCCACATCATAGGTAATCATTTTAAAATGTTTATCCTTCCATTCTTTGTCTGTGTACAAATGAGCAAACATAAATTCTTATCCCACCTCTGTTTATACAAGGGTAGCATAATTATATTAAACTGAGCGTCCCCAATAATGGCCTCTCTGCAGCCACGCCTTCTGGACTGCTCAGGAAGTGGGGTCTGTTTCCCTATTTCCTG